TTCCCTGCCAGCTGCTCAGTTCCTGCTCTGGGGCCATGTGCCCTGTAGAGGGGAGGGGCTTTGTGCACTGGCCCCACCTCCAGCCCAGTCTCACAGCTCCCATTGGCCAGAAACCAGCCAATGGGAGCTGCCTGGGCTGTGCTTACAGTACAGGCAGCACACAGAGGACCTCCCCAAGGGGCACATAGCACAGAACCACACTTCGTGGCCCCAGCAGCCAAAGGTGCTAGAACTAGGAATGCTGCAGCACCCCCTGGCTTGAACTGTTTTCCATCATATGCAGAGTTTACAGTTTGGTTCAGTGGCTGTCAACACCCCCACTATCAAAATTGTTCCAGCGCCCCTGCCAGAGCTGGCCACTGGGAGACAGCCAGCAGGGAGCCTGCCCAAGGGTCTCCCTGAGCTGCTGGCTTGGTGCACCCCCTCCTAACCCTCTCCTCCAGGTCAGATAGCTCTCCCTGCACACAGACCTGTATCCCCTCCCAAACCCTTCACCCCAATCCCCTGCCCCAGATCACAACTCCATCCGGCACCCAGTCCCTTCCGCACCTGCATCCCAGAGCCCGCAGCCCCTCCATCAGTGCCCTTTGGAGTAGCCCCCCATGCAAAATGCTTGCCCATCCCAGGCTAGGTCTCGCGGTGCGTGTGTCCCTAGAGCACACGTACAAGGCTGTATCCCCTCCCAAACCCTTCACCCCAATCCCCTGCCCCAGATCACAACTCCATCCGGCACCCAGTCCCTTCCGCACCTGCATCCCAGAGCCCGCAGCCCCTCCATCAGTGCCCTTTGGAGTAGCCCCCCATGCAAAATGCTTGCCCATCCCAGGCTAGGTCTCGCGGTGCGTGTGTCCCTAGAGCACACGTACAAGGCATCGCGGGCTGGTGTGTCCCTAGCGCACACGTACAAGGCATCGCGGGCTGGTGTGTCCCTAGCGCACACGTACAAGGCATCGCGGGCTGGTGTGTCCCTAGCGCACACGTACAAGGCATCGCGGGCTGGTGTGTCCCTAGCGCACACGTACAAGGCATCGCGGGCTGGTGTGTCCCTAGCGCACACGTACAAGGCATCGCGGGCTGGTGTGTCCCTAGCGCACACGTACAAGGCATCGCGGGCTGGTGTGTCCCTAGCGCACACGTACAAGGCATCGCGGGCTGGTGTGTCCCTAGCGCACACGTACAAGGCATCGCGGGCTGGTGTGTCCCTAGCGCACACGTACAAGGCATCGCGGGCTGGTGTGTCCCTAGCGCACACGTACAAGGCATCGCGGGCTGGTGTGTCCCTAGCGCACACGTACAAGGCATCGCGGGCTGGTGTGTCCCTAGCGCACACGTACAAGGCATCGCGGGCTGGTGTGTCCCTAGCGCACACGTACAAGGCATCGCGGGCTGGTGTGTCCCTAGCGCACACGTACAAGGCATCGCGGGCTGGTGTGTCCCTAGCGCACACGTACAAGGCATCGCGGGCTGGTGTGTCCCTAGCGCACACGTACAAGGCATCGCGGGCTGGTGTGTCCCTAGCGCACACGTACAAGGCATCGCGGGCTGGTGTGTCCCTAGCGCACACGTACAAGGCATCGCGGGCTGGTGTGTCCCTAGCGCACACGTACAAGGCATCGCGGGCTGGTGTGTCCCTAGCGCACACGTACAAGGCATCGCGGGCTGGTGTGTCCCTAGCGCACACGTACAAGGCATCGCGGGCTGGTGTGTCCCTAGCGCACACGTACAAGGCATCGCGGGCTGGTGTGTCCCTAGCGCACACGTACAAGGCATCGCGGGCTGGTGTGTCCCTAGCGCACACGTACAAGGCATCGCGGGCTGGTGTGTCCCTACCGGGGCACACGGGCCGTGACCGGGCTGTGCGTGTGGGCAGGCTGGGTGCATATCGGGGGGTTAATCCAGGAGACGTTAAATAGGCTGGTTGTTTATTTTTATCTTCCTTAATATTCCTCCCGTCGCTAAATCCCTGGCTTTCCCAGTGCGACAGCGCCAGGCACCTCCCCGGGGGTTTTGAAAGCTTTTAAAAAT